ACTACTAATATGATGATATCTGATGTGCTTTATATACTCAACTATTAACTACTCCTGGTGAATTAAGTTATATAAAAATGCCACAGCATCCTTTTTACCATGTTTAGTCGTGTAGTACTCATGTGGTGTAGGCTGCAGTGACTTGTAGGTAAACATCCCTATCCAATTCCCATGAAGGGAATTGGGCTACAGTCGGCAGCCATATCACCCTGTAGCCCAAGACTGGTTACCCAGCTGGTGTGTGGTGGGCGTTCTGGCGCACTATGGCTGCCGTCGCATCATCCAGGTGGATGCTGCACACTGGTGGTGGATGAGGAGATACCCCCTGACAATGTAAAGCGCTTTGAGTGCCTAGAAAAGCGCTATATAAATGTAATGAATTATTATTTTATTATTATAGGGAAATTTCGATTGACATGCTCCCTATGCTGGCAACAGTGCCCTTTGGACTGAGTAGAGGAGATGCCCCCGATGATTTGATATCTCACTTACTATGGCCAACACGTAAAATCCCCAATCTCTGACCTTTTCTCCCAGTGTACTTATTTTATGTTTATGTGTGAGTGTTTGTGTGTGAGTTCCTACAAAAAAAACGACTTTAATAACTTCCTCTCTTTCCCAGTTTGAAACAGAAATAAAACTTAAAAGATAACATTTCTGTTGAAAGGTACCTGCAATGTGCTTCAAAAAGCTCGCCCTTTTAAGGCCAACAGATCTAATCCCAATTTTCATGCCTGCACAGCATGACTCCCGATGTCTTGAATGCGGTGCTGAGGGCAGAGCGCATGCCTCCAGAATACCAAATGCACAAACATCATCATTCGTGACATTCAATAGAATGCTGAAAGAAAGAAAATAAGGTTAGAAAGTGCTATTTTTAATACAATCATTGCATAAAGGAACAGTTCACCCAAAATATTTTTTTTTTTTTGCCATTGTTTTTTTTGAAGAATCTTCATGCAGTAACTTTTTTTTACCAAGCCGTTAAAAAGCCACTCCAAAAAAAACTAAACTGACATAAAAATACCATAAAATAACCCTTTTTAAAGGTGCTGTATGTATTTTTTTTGACTGTACTAAAGCATAAAAATACCATATATATTAGGACACAATCTAAGATCACATACTTATTTCTCTGAAAAACAGCACTACAGCCAGTTATCGTACTTTGAAATGTGTGTTCTGTGCCGTAAGCAACAGCTTTCTGCTTTCTCTGTAGAAAAGAAAGGCCATAACGTCATGACACTTTTTTTTTTGTTTTTTGCTTTTTTTGCATTGAAATGCACCCGTGAAAAAATTGCACTGGCACATTGAAATAAAGTAATCACAGAACACCAACATCAGCTGTAAGTAAAACTGCTTGTTGGAGGTTATACAACAGAATAATATCAGCGTTTGGATAAAATGGATGAAACATTTACAGTGTAGACACACACACACACACACACACACACACACACACACACACACACACACACACACACACAACACACAGCCAAGCATACGGCCAGTGGAACAGTCATTAGCTCGGCTCCAAAAATAAGCGAGCTGCCTACAAGAGCAGCATTTTAACACACCATGGACACAATCCTGACACGAAACAATCTTAATCATGCTGCCCCCTACCATACGTCATTTTGGACAGATTGCAAGGTGTTACGTGTCCCTCGTGGTGAATGCAATCCCAGAATGCACTGCAATGAGTAAGTACAAGATGGTGGAAAAAGAGAGATTAATTTGATTATAAATAAACTTACATTTAATTCCATAAAGTATTAATATGTGTAAGTATTTTACCTACAATTTGAGGGTGTTATATATTTACACAACAGTTCATAACACTGATTACTGTAATATTGTGAACCTCTTCTATTTTAATATATTTTAAAATGTAATTTATTCCTGTGATGGCAAAGCTGAAATATGAATAGAACGTTTAAAAGAAAAGCATTTATTTGAATGCTTTTGTAACATTTTAAATCTCTTAACTGTCACTTTTGATCATTCTAATGCATCCTTGCTGAAAAAAGTGATCAGTACTATACTTTAACTTAGCAGCATGCTAACTTGCAATTAATAGAAAGCCAAGTCTCTTGCGGAGCTTCTGTCTATGTAAAACATTCCAATCAGTCACTTAATGCTAAATCTCTGTTAGCATGCTGTCTTAAAAGGCAAATCTGCATTAGATTCTGGAATTGATCTATTGTTTAGTTTTCCTGCAGCTTCCAGCAAATTCAAGTATCAGTTCAAGGTTTTCTCTCTGATTCAGGGTCATACATGAATACTTTCTCATATAAACAATTTTGCTTCACTCTGTAAACTTCCTCAACACAGCAAAAATACAGTGGGCTTATGGTCTTTGATGTTTTTCCACCTTCATTTCAGCTTTGAAGACAAAATTCAGAATATGCAAAAATGGCTTCATCCTCAATTCAGATTTTTGCTTTATCTGTAGAGTTTCTGCTTTAAATCGCTTAATAGAGCTTACTAAGACAAATATCACGATTTCTCATAGGCACAGGCATATGAACAAACTCTGAAACCCCAAGTATCACATATAGTGCTACGGACATATAAAACCACAATATATAAATATATATATATATATATGATTGTGTGATATGTGTATATGTGTATATATATATATATATATATATATATATATATATATATAATTCCTACATATAATATATATAGAATGTTTAAATGTCCAAAAATGCTGTCTAGGTAGGCAGTTCACTAGCTTTCGAACCCCAGCCACTGTCTAACACAAAATACCTTGTTTTCTTGAGAAATAAAGTGATTGATTTCAGGCTTGCTGGCTCAAGCAGGTCCTCATTTTCTTTTAAATTACCATTTTGCTGACTGCAGAAGTTCCTGCTGTTAAGCGGCTTGAATTCACTTGAGTTCTGGCAACCATTGTACAGTAATAACAGCTGTTGAAGTTAAACCCAAATTCAGCTATACAAACCTTAATTCGGTCGTGTTAACAAGAAATCTCAGAGGTGATTACCAAAAAAATATGTCTAGGTTTCTTACCGGAAAATGATAAAGAGAACAAACCGGGGTACTGAAAGTGGAAAGCATAACACTCAGCAGATTTACCCAAGCAGAACATACAGCCTGTCAGGATTACTGCACAGAAACAAACATACTGTACACACATTTGTTTCCTTTTCGCTTACTCAATCCCCCATGTAAAGATAAACAGCACTGCTTTATACACTTCACAATCCTTAAAGTGTATAACCTGAAAAAAAAAACAGCCCAAACTAGCCACCACCATCATTCAAAAGCACGAGACACACACATACACTCTCTCACACATGCAGAAATGCTTACATATTCATAACCTTCTCACTTCATTCATGTAGTCACTATAAACTAGGAACCTGGGGAATACAGAAAGAGAGTGGGAAAGAGCGAAAGAGAGTGTGTATCATCTTAAGTGTCCAATGGGAGTCCCAGAGGACGCCTATAAAAAAATAAACAGGGTCCTGTAATCACAGTCAGAAGTACAGACTTTATATAATGAAACCCATTGCTCTGGTCAAAAACTGAGTGAGTTTCTTATACGTAGGCAGCATTTTAAGACATTCTCATGAAAAAAGACTGTTATAAAAGGAAGGGAGCTTAATTATGCTGTTTATAAGATACCTTGTTACACTGAGGGAAATCCAATATTGTGGATGAGATGAGAAAAATGATTATAGCATACTTGTATATCATTCATTACTGAAAATTGTTATAAATAGCTAAATCAAATTCAAATTGTGCTTGATATTTATTTTTATACTTATCAGAGTTACATGTTGTTACTGTAGCTTAGCAATCAGTCACTTATAAGGTTCCTAGGGAAGGCAGCCGTCTATGTAGGCTGTTGTCAGCAAGGGAGCTCACTAGGTTTTGGAAAAGAGACTATATTGTATATGCTATAAAGTGAGCAATTATGAAAATGTTTATTCGCAATAACTGAAATGCTTCAAGGCAAATCTGGGCCAACAAGGGTTTTGAAGATGATTTCCAGTACCATTTTCACATTAAAATTGAATGATGCAGTGGAGTAGAGAAGCCTGAAGTGTTCAATATGTAAGTCTACTCGAATATATTCCAGTGAGAAATATAGCATGTGTAGGTAATTGACTCAGTAACTTATATAAAGAAAATTAGGCACTTAGTTGACTTTTTGATAAAAAATTGAAAATGTGACATGAACCTGTATTGAAAAGTTGGAAAGTTATATGATATTATACACACACAC